ACAAATTTTATTATCAGTTTAGAACAAACTCTTGTATCAGCTAATAACAAACTCTAGTATCAGCCTACAACAAACTCTAGTAACAGCTTACACCTGGCTCTTGTATCAGCTAATAACAAACTCTAGTATCAGCTTGCATCAGCTTACAACAGACTCTAGTATCAGCTCTCAACAAACTCCAGCATCAGCTCACAACAAATTTTATTATCAGTTTAGAACAAACTCTTGTATCAGCTCACAACAAATTCTAGTATCAGCTTACAACAAACTCTAGCATTACCTTACAACTTACAACAAACTCAGCATCAGTGTGATCAACCCATCTTCCTGTTCAGTAAGTAATTATCAAAAGAAGGCACCAAACCGGGAAGGCTATGTACCACCATCAAATGTACGGCATAATCAGAGGGCGCTAAATATCACCAAGGATGGCAATACGAGAACAGAAACACATAAGGCGAACGATATCAACAGTATCCGATTCACCAAGAATTCAATCGAGGGACAAGTGACAGCGAGGAACGGTCGGAAAGCAAGACACACGCTCGTTCTGGAAGTCAGGACATTCAACAAGGATATGCACGACTGTAAGAGGGACAATGCAATTTGGACAATACGGAGCAGGGCGGCGCTCTATTAAGTGACCATGAGTTAAGCGAGTATGGCCAATATGCAACCTTGCCAGAGCTGTTTCCCACCGCCGGTTATGGTGGTAGGAGGAAGGCCACAGGGACACACTACCCTTAAGAGTACGCAGTTTGTTACCAGTAACAGAAGACCAACAACCCTGCCAACGGGCAAAGATGGAGGAATGAATAACTGGGTAAAAGTCGGAATAAGGAATACCTTAACGGGAGATGGGAAAAGTATGGATAGCTTCCTTAGCGGCAGTATCCGCACGCTCATTTAAAGAGACACCAACATGGCTGGGAACCCAGCAAAACTCTACCGACTTAAATTTACTGGAGATAAGAAACAGCCAATGTTAAATCTCGATGACCACCGGGTGGATCGGATTAAAGGACCCCAAAGCCATGATGGCACTTCGAGAGTTAACTACCACCACAAAGGAGGATTGACAACGAGAAAGCAGGAGACGAAGAGCATAGAGAATAGCATAAAGTTCTGCTGTGAAGACGCTAGCCTCTGGAGGAAAGCGACACATATAAGTGTGGTCAGGAAAACAACAGAGTAGCCCACACCGTCAGCAGACATAGACCCATCGGTGAAGACGGAAACAGAGTGGGAGTGTGAAGAAAAGTGCTCAAGGAAAAGGCATTTCAGAACTGTAGGAGGTAAAAGCTTTAGTGATGCAGGTCAGGGAAGTACAAAATTAGGGAAGAGGGACCCTCCACGGGGACAAGGACAGAAGAATACTAGGAGAAACATTGGTAATACGAACCGAAAGAGAATCTTGGCATCAACGGGCTTGACAGTGAAGGGGATCCTCCTGTTTAGATAGTACTTTTTACACCATAGTACAAATATTGATGTACTAAGCAATTAGATTGTAGAATTTTGTACTATTAACATTTATAAAGTCCGAAAATAATGAAGTTCAAAAATAAAACTAAAAAAAAAAATTCTAGGCCGAGGGGCCTCGTAGCCTGGTGCATAGCGCGCAGGACTCGTAATTCTGTGGCGCGGGTTCGATTCCCGCACGAGGCAGAAACAAATGGGCAAAGTTTCTTTCACCCTAAATGCCCCTGTTACCTAGCAGTAAATAGGTACCTGGGAGTTAGTCAGCTGTCACGGGCTGCTTCCTGGGGGTGGAGGCCTGGTCGAGGACCGGGCCGCGGGGACACTAAAGCCCCGAAATCATCTCAAGATAACCTCAAGATTGTATAGCACACATATGTACTAATAATGTATAGCACACATATGTAGTAATAATGAGAACTGCTGAAGGCCTATTGGCCCATACGAGGCAGCTCCCATTATAACCACCGAAGGAGATAGTAATAGGAAAAAGAAAAGGATAGCAAGGGAGCGTAGGAGAAGACAATGAACAGAAAAAGGGAGAAGAGAGAAAGAAAAGGAAAGAGAAAGAAAGATAAATGGAAGGGGTAAGCTTATGTTAAGTCACGTTTGTTAGAAAGATTAGAGCATTTGAGTATATACTGTGAAAGGGAAGAGTCCACAGCAACAAAGCCAGGACTCAAGTTCATGTTGGGTACATTGTGTATAAGAGCCGATTCTACAAGACGGCGTCTGTGTAGAGTAGAGGCAGGAAAGATTATTTTGGAGGAAGACCAATCAATGGGATGATTAGAATCCCTCACATGGCAGAAGAGAGCATTGTTAGTGTCTGCAGACTTAACACTTCTCTTGTGTTCTTTAAGTCTGTCATTCAGTGTACGGCCAGTTTCGCCAAAGTATTGGAGAGGACAAGATGAACAGGAAATAGAGTAGACACCAGCAGCATTAGAAGCAGGAAGAGCAGTGTGAACTAGATTGCTACGAAGTGTGTTAGTTTGTCGAAAGGCGAGTTTAATGTCAAGAGGACGAAAGGTATTGGTAAAAGTTTTGAGTTCAGATATGAAGGGAAGGCATAGTACAGTGCTACTAGTGTTGGAAGCAGGTTTAGGATGAAAGAAATTTCGTTTAGCTTGAGAGTAGGCACAGTTGATGAAATGCAAAGGATAACCAAAGAAGTCGTCCCTTCAACTTCTAGTGTGTGGTCTGGTCAACATACTTCAGCCACGTTATTGTGACTCATCGCCTGCATATGTACTATATTAGGCCTCAGGTAGCGTGTATTAGGCCTAGGAAGGTTAGGTTAGGTTAATAGTTTGTCATTACAACATAAGTAAAAATCGTATTCCGGTTTGTCTAAATTTAATAGTATCAATTTCTTTCTAGTTTGGTTGTACTTCAGTGTATGTACTATGGGCCTCATTGTTACTATAAGTACTATCAAAACAGGAGGATTGGCTACTATATCTGCAAACCATCCTTATTTGGACGAGTATTGTGAGCGTGTGAGATGGTGTATATTGAGTACGAGGAGAGGTTTGTCTTTGGACACAACCAATAGTTCGGACATTAAGGGGAAGGTTTCCTTTCCATCATAAGTCCAAGTCATATTAGTATACCCAACACCTTCTGATGTTATAACAACCCACAGATATGATTCCAAGAGTGATATTATTGCACCCAACACCTGCTAATGTTGTAGACAACCCACAGATGAGTCCAAGAGTGATATTAGTGTATCAAACACCTGCTGATGTTGTAGACAACCACAGATATGAGTCCAAGAGTGATATTAGTATACCCAACACCTGCTGATGTTGTAAACAACCAGATATGAGTACAAGAACGATATTATTTCACCCAACACCTGTCAATGTTGTAGACAACCACCCACAGATGAGTCCCGGAGTGATATTATTACACCAAACACCTGTCGATGTTGTAGACAACCACAGATGAGTCCAAGAGTGATATTATTGCACCAAACACCTGTCGATGTTGTAGACAACCACAGATGAGTCCAAGAGTGATATTACTGCACCAAACACCTGTCGATGTTGTAGACAACCCACAAATGAGTCCCAGAGTGATATTATTGCACCCAACACCTGCTTATGTTGTAGACAACCCACAAATGAGTCCCAGAGTGATATTACTGCACCTAACACCTGCTCATGTTGTAGACAACCAGCAGATACGCGTCCAAGAGTGATATCATTGCCCCCAACACCTGCTAATGTTGATGACGATCAACAGATACGAGTGCAAGTGATATTAGTGTACCCAGCACCTGCTGATGTTGTAGACAACTCAGTTATGAGTCCAGGATTGATATTATTGCACCCAACACTTGCTGATGTTGCAGACAACCACAGATATGACGAGGTTTCACAGGATAATGGTCCATGAAGGACCGAGGCGTCGTCACTGCCTTTGTTATACTTGTGGGTAGTGTGTAGTGTTGAGCCGTGTTAGTGTGACATACTCTCCACATACTGATGTTGTACATGACCGACTGTGGTGTGTGAGCCGTGTTAGTGTGACATACTGATGTGTACATGAGTGTTGAGCCGTGTTAGTGTGACATACTCTGAGCCGCGTTAGTGTGACATACTCTCCACATACATGTGGTCTGTGAGCCGTGTTAGTGTGACATACTGATGTTGTACATGACCGACTGTGGTGTGTGAGCCGTGTTAGTGTGACATACTCTCCACATACTGATGTTGTACATGACCGGCTATGTGGTGTGTGAGCCGTGTTAGTGTGACATACTCTCCACATACTGATGTTGTACATGACCAACAATGTGGTCTGTGAGCCGTGTTAGTGTGACATACTGATGTTGTACATGACCGGCTATGTGGTGTGTGAGCCGTGTTAGTGTGACATACTCTCCACATACTGATGTTGTACATGACCGACTATGTGGTCTGTGAGCCGTGTAAGTGTGACCTGATGTTGTACATACTGTGGTGTGTGAGCCGTGTTAGTGTGACATACTCTCCACATACTGATGTTGTACATGACCGGCTATGTGGTGTGTGAGCCGTGTTAGTGTGACATACTCTCCACATACTGATGTTGTACATGACCGACTATGTGGTGTGTGAGCCGTGTTAGTGTGACATACTCTCCACATACTGATGTTGTGTGTGTCAGGTATAGTGCTGGATGGTGCCTAGTTCATTAAGGGAGGAAATATCAATAACTATCTCTTGTTATATATACATTTTGATCAGATTTTGTTAATAATTATTTAATGCTTGTGTAGTAAATAGCATATGTGACGAATGTCAGTAGCCAAATTATGGAAAGAAGTATATTAGATATAATTTTAAAATCATCTACTGATAGCATATGATGCGGTGTAAGGTAAAACAATAAGGAGTGAATCAACAGAAATAGTAATTAATTATAGAAAGGGTGGAATCACTCTGCACTGTTAATGGACAATTCCAAAATGTCCTGTTCTAAACTTGGTTACCTTTAACTTAACACAACTGAATTAATAAAATTTTAGGGCTTTATATAAATTTATTGATATGTTTCATATGACAATGGTTTATAAATCACTACATTTGGGCAGCTTACATAAAGCGACTGATGGAAGCACATAGATTAATGGAACAAAAAAATGCTTGGTAATCATCAAAAAGTTTTAATTCTACATAAATCTAAATTCACTACAACCTGAAAACTTAGAAATTTATAACAGAGGACATAAAAATTCAGCATTTCTAGCTGCTCCTTAAATAATTTTAACTAAAACTCTTGTGTGATGTTATGACAAAACACTTAAAGTAAAGATATCAAATTCATTAGAATGTGAGGCGAAGTAATGTATGACTTTGAAGCATACTTTACATACATACATTCCACCTCCACAAGAACAAAAGATTACCACACTGCCTCTAAATATGGGACGCCTCCATCCTTGATTAACGGTCCTTAGGAACACAACCCTTGTGACCAGACAATATATTACAGCTCGATCATAAATAGTCGAAATTAAATCGGGAACTTGTTAATCCGTAGCTTCTCACCAGGTGGTATCAATAACCACACAGCGACAAATTAATGCTTATACAATACCAAATAAGATTTGCATCAAAACACTTTATCGTGACCTAATAATTTGAACTGATAATACAGCTGATCTAAAATAAATAAAAATGTTCCTTCTTGACGTCTCCGGATATTTGCAGGCGTCAGATTAGATCACTACGAGTCATTATTCACCTCCATGGTACTACTCCAAGTCTCGGGGAATGTCTGGAGGTGTGCCTCCGCCACTTCTACTCCCTAATGATGGCCACCATAACCGTCTTGTAGTCTCCAGAAATTTCACCCTGTAGAAAAGAAACGGATCGCAGGCGGTTAACATCTAATTTGTGCTCATATCAGCCGGTCCTCCTAAGGTTCCCCAACGTCAAGAAATTGTCGTACACTAGATTCAGGAACAAGACAGTCGTAAAATTGTCGCACACTAGAGATTCAGGAATCAGACAGTCGAAAAATTGTCGCACACTAGAGATTCAGGAATCAGACAGTCGTAAAATTATCGCACACTAGAGATTCAGGAACCAGACAGTCGTAAAATTGTCGCACACTAGAGATTCAGGAACTAGACAGTCGTAAAATTGTCACACACTAGAGATTCAGGAGTTAGTGAGGCACAAATTGCGTCACTAACTCCTCCTTCCACCACCGTCCATAGGATGGGTCCCTGAACCCATTATATGCCTACAGTACCCTTATCCTAACCTACTAGAGGACCCAAAACAGAAAACGGGACAGTATGTCAATTTCGCTAGCCGCTACCATTTTCTAGTACGACGATTTTTGAGCTTAGGTAAAGTATTAGAGGAGGGTGAAGGGAATACCAGTACGATTAACCACACTTACGAACCCACTGTAAATTTTGCAATACATCTTCTATCAAATATATTCCTAAAGTTACCTTCGATGGAATGTACAAAATATAGACAATTATACCCATAAAAAGGTTCACGATTTATAACATTGGAGAGCCATAGGCATAACATAACGTGAGAGCAACTATAAACCTAACTTACCCTCTCCTAGGCCACATTTATTACATATGTGTACGATGCTAGGCCTAGGAAATGTTAGGTTTGGTGGTGGCCGACCATCTACAAACAACAATTGTTGTTTTTAGTGATAGTCAAAGAAACTTTTGTACGTTCATTAACCCGTAACTACAGGCACTCGAGTAGTAATTACAGGCACTCGAGTAACTACAGGCACTCGTGCAGTAACTACAGGCACTCGTGCAGTAACTACAGACACTCGTGCAGTAACTACAGACACTCGTGCAGTAACTACAGACACTCGTGCAGTAACTACAGGCACTCGAGTAGTAACTACAGACACTCGTGCAGTAGCTACAGGCACTCGAGTAGTAACTACAGGCACTCGTGCAGTAACTACAGTCACTCGAGTAGTAACTACAGTCACTCGTGTAGTAACTACAGGCACTCGAGTAGTAACTACAGGCACTCGTGCAGTAACTACAGGCACTCGAGTAGTAACTACAGGCACTCGAGTAGTAACTACACACACACGTGTAGTAACTACAGGCACTCGTGCAGTAATTACAGGCACTCGTGTAGTAACTACAGGCACTCGTGTAGTAACTACAGGCACTCGTGTAGTAACTACAGGCACTCGTGTAGTAACTACAGGCACTCGTGCAGTAACTACAGACACTCGTGCAGTAACTACAGGCACTCGTGTAGTAACTACAGGCACTCGTGTAGTAACTACAGGCACTCATGTAGTAACTACAGGCACTCGCATAGTAACTACAGGCACTCGTGCAGTAACTACAGGCACTCGTGTAGTAACTACAGGCACTCGTGTAGTAACTACAGGCACTCACTCGTGTAGTAACTACAGGCACTCGTGTAGTAACTACAGGCACTCGTGCAGTAACTACAGGCACTCGAGTAGTAACTACAGGCACTCATGTAGTAACTACAGGAGTAGTAACTACACACTCGTGTAATAACTACAGGCACTCGTGTAGTAACTACAGGCACTCGTGCAGTAACTACAGGCACTCGAGTAGTAACTACAGGCACTCGTGTAGTAACTACAGGCACTCGTGTAGTAACTACAGGCACTCGTGTAGTAACTACAGGCACTCGTGCAGTAACTACAGGCACTCGTGCAGTAACTCTACAGGCACTCGTGTAGTAACTACAGGCACTCGTGTAGTAACTAACGTGTAGTAACTACAGGCACTCGTGTAGTAACTACAGGCACTCGTGTAGTAATGCACTAGTAGTAACTACAGGCACTCGTGTAGTAACTACAGGCACTCGTGTAGTAACTACAGGCGTGTAGTAACTCACTCGTGTAGTAACTACAGGCACTCACTACAGGCACTCGTGTAGTAACTACAGGCACTCGTGCAGTAACTAACTAGGCACTCGTGTAGTAACTCTAACTAGGCACTCGTGTAGTAACTACTCGTGCAGGCACTCGTGTAGTAACTACAGGCACTCGTGTAGTAACTACAGGCACTCGAGTAGTAACTACAGGCACTCGTGTAGTAACTACAGGCACTCGTGCAGTAACTACAGGCACTCGTGTAGTAACTACAGGCACTCGTGTAGTAACTACAGGCACTCGTGTAGTAACTACAATGGTGTAGCAGCCAAGAGAGCTGTGGAGGAACCTAGCAGAAGGGTGAAGCACCTTAGTTGCTCAAGAAAACTTCATGATAGCAGCCTGGAGGAGCTGCAGAGGATCCTGGTAGTGAAGCCCGGAAGAACCTAAGGATATTAGGGTAGTGAACTTCCAGAGGTGGAAGGGAAGTTCTGGTGGATTACTTGTAGGGAGTTGATAGTGTTTGGTTGTCAGTAACGTGCAAGACGCAGTGAGAGGTGAGTGATTGTTGGTATTCTGATGTCAAGGAGTGTTTTACACTGAAGTTTAGAGTTACAGTCGTAGGCTGGATTACCTACAGACGTATGCGTTCTAGGACTGATAGAGTGATCGATTGATCATTGTTGTGTATCAATGACCATTTATACTGATATGTTATTGCATTCAAATGCTGATTTTCTTGGTACACATTTATAGATACATATATATATTCTCTTGCTGATGGTGCAACAGTGTATGTAGACTTGATCAACTTGAGGAGGTTGATAGTATCAGGTGGTGAACCAGGAGATAGGATACCACTTGATAAGCTGATGATAGAGTTCTGATGGTGTTGGAGTGCAACCTGATTGTAATATTATAGAGTATAGGATTCATTATTATGATATGTGTGTATGTATTGTGTATGTGCTTTGTCCAGTAAATGTATCACAATTTGCTGGTGTTTGCCCTTGTCCTAGTGAGGCTTCCCAGGAGGTAGTAAAGAAGGAGAGAGAAAGAGAGAAAGAACCAAGAACCACTGCTGTGGACAGGGTAGGAGGTAATACTAGTAAGTCATAGGGGATTGAGGAGATCATATCTCATAAGGAGAGAGTGGGGAGTCACAGCGGCTCGAGTGGGTGTGTGCACGTGACAACGAGGCTAAGTGTTGGAGCCGCATCCCCTAAACGTGTGAAGTTGAGCCCCTCTCCAAGAGCCAGAAGCGCCAAGGGTGATCTCCTAGTATAAACACTCTACCGAGTTGTGGGTTGGGTTGTCCATAGAGAAGGATCAACGACGACAACACCAACCAACCCACAGACTATAATAAAATTGGGGGCCTGTGTCCGGGATAGTGAACTGACACACCCACACCCTGTCTTAAGAGTGGATTTGTACACCCTTGCTGAAGTAAACTGTGTGACCGCAGGTGTATATTCTCTCTCTTGGGAAGACTCACAGGACAAAGATGGATAAGGTGCAAGCGTTTGTGGAGTCAGGCAAGCCTGAGGACTTGGAAGGTTGCACGAGGGATCAATTGAAACAAATAGCAGAAAAATGTGGCATTAGGTTGAAAGCATCTAAAGTAGCTGGGATGAAGGATGAGATCCTGAGGCAGTTAAGAGCCAAAAATGAAGCGGCAGAGCAAGGAGCCCAAAAAGGAGCTGAAAGTGGAAAGGAGGATGATGGGCAGGATGACGTGAGATCCCAGGGATCGAGTATGAGCAGCAAGAGTAGCCGCAGTAGCAGGAGTAGCCGAAATAGGAGCTTGGAGAGATTCCAGTTAGAGCTCCAGATGCAGCAACAACGAGAGGACAAGGAGAGACAATTCCAGCTGGAAAAGATGAAATTGGAACTCCAGATGAAAAATGAAGCCAAGAAGGAAAAAGAGAAAACCAGACTGGAAATAGAAAAAGAGAAAACCAGAGTAAGAGAACTGGAGTTGGAACAAGAGAAAGAAAAAGAGAAAGCAAGACTAGAGGTCGAAAAAAGAAAAAGAGAGAACAAAACAAATGCAGATAGAAGCGAATAGAACCTTGGCTGAGCAAAGGATTGAACATGGGTTGCCAGAGAGCACCACCCAGGTATCACACCCACCAGATGTTAGGGTTAGGGAGAAGGACATTCCCTTGTTTGTTCCGGAAGAGGCAGAGAGCTTCTTCGAGCATTTTGAAAAAGTAGCCAGTATCAAGGAGTGGCCACAGGAGGAATGGGCCCAGCTGGTCCAGTTAAGATTGACCGGTGCAGCCAGGGAGGCATACACCCAATTGTCGCTGGAAGAGTGCCAGGATTACGCCACAGTAAAGAGCAGCATATTGCGCTCGTTTCAGTTAACCCCAGAAGCTTATAGGAAGCGCTTCAGAGAGATGATCAAAGTTGGAGCGTGTACGTTTGCTGAGACAGCAAGAGATCTGGAAAGACGATTCCAGAAGTGGATTGAGGCTGCTGGAGTTGGATCTTACGCTGACCTGAAGCAACTGATGGTCATGGAGAAGTTCTTGGAGATTATGCATCCCGAAACAAAGTTCAAGATCCAAGAAGCAGGGATAATGGAGGTGAAAGATGCCGCAGATAGGGCGGATATGATTACTGAAGCATACAAGAGCTTGAGGGAGAACAGAGTGAGAAGCGAGGCGAGACGCAGCAATTGCAGATCCAATGGAGTCTGGGGAGGAAGAAATTATGAGAGACCCAGAAGAGTCTGGGGTGAGAAAAATTTTGATAAATGGGCAGATAAAAGTAAGTACCCTAAAACTCAGAAGAGTAGGTCGCGCACTTCATCTGAAAGTGAAGATGGAGGAGCCAAACGAGAAACTATTCGTGATCCAGGGAATCAAGAGTCCAGTAAAGCCCCACAGAGTACAAATAGTGTGCCTGGCTCGAGGAACTCTCATGCGAGTGGACAAAGTCAGAGCCGCTTTGGTACATATAGAAGAGATTTTTCCCAGATGAGATG